TTCCTGGCAGAGACGGACTCCCAGGAAAACCTGGAATACCAGTAAGATACATACATTAGATGAAACATGTTCAGGGTTTTCAGTTTTCAGCTATGTTTTGTTATGAATGCCTGCCAACATTAATGAATAATATGTTTTATGATTTAATTCTTCATATGTAATCAAGCAGAGGCTGCTTGTAGGATGTACAAACACACATTACTACAGGTTTAAGTACACAGTTTTGAAACTTAGTGATATTTCCCATGTTGCTTCAGTAACTAATTCATCCTGGCACAAAAGTATTGGTGTAGAGCAGATACTGAATACTTAAATACTGTGAGTATGGCAATAGTCATATGTAAGGAGTATAAATATAAAAGGTCATTTAAAATGAACTCTACCTTTACCAGCTGCAATTTTAAAGATATGTACATAACAACATATCAATAATTATAATCCAAAATATGATATACTTTAATGTGAAATGTGACATTCTGCATAATGACTTGTTACATTTAGTATTTTATTTTCACTTTCTGGTATCGCTACTTTTACATAAGTAAAACATCTGAGGACTTCTTCCTGTCTTCAGTCTGCAAGCCTGTATTTGCATTTACATGTCCTTGACCTCTATTGAATTTTGTATAAAATAATGATTTGAAGGCAAAAGATAATAGTGACTTATTATTATTAGTAGTAGTAGTAGTAGTAGTAGCATTTATTTTTTACTTTAAAACTGTCACCACAAATGCTGAATTTACCTCATAAGAACATATTTTCTCATTTCTGCACCAAATATAACAACACCAAATCACTGCTGGCTAGAGGAATTTAATACAAACTGACATGGAAATGCCAGTGAAGAATAAATAAAGTTCCATTTGCACTGAAATTACATATACAATATATCTTTACCTTCATGTTTTACTTGTGTCATTTCATCTTTATTATCACTGTACATTGTCTCATTATTCAAACTTTTAATTCTGTTTATTTTTGTACAGATCTATTTAATTGTTTTCTATTCCCAACTAAAATTCACCTCTCCTTAAATCATACTGTAGTGAAATTTGTGTGACCAATCTATTTGTTATTTTGTCTCTACCCATGTGTGACTCCACTGTAATGATTCTCAGCCTCCATTTATCCCCACTTTATTTCCTCACCTATCTCTGTTCTGCCCATATCTCGTTCCTCTTTTTCACCCTCCACTCCTCTCCTACCATCTCTTCTCCCTGTCCACTCTGTTTCAGATGTTTGAGGATTGGTTCAATGGTTCTGGACCTGACGGGTCAGGTTTGAGTTCAGAGTTGTCCTCTGTCCTCGCCTCTGACCTTGGCTCTGCTTTCAGTTCCGGGTTCAGTTCTGAATCCAGTTTTGTCTCTGGGTCTGGGCTTGTCCTCGGGTCTGCGTGTGGTTCAGGCGAGGTATACGTTTGTGGTTTGCTTAGTAAACCACCAAACAATAAAAGGCGGCAATACAGTCAGAAGCCAGCGTATTGAGGCAGCATGCCTCACCCATTACCACAATAGCTTGCATCTTGTTTAAACAGGGCCACCAATGATACTGTGAAGACTAACTTTAGCTTACTGCCTCAATGCTCAGGCTACTGACACAATCTCCAACCATGTTGTCTTAACTGCTGGCTGGCAGCTGGCTAAACTGGAACTGTTTTCAGCTGGATGCAGGGCTCAGTATGTATGTCGATGTACAGTAGGTGTGTGTGTGTGTGTGTGTGCTTTCTTTGCTCTTCAGTGATTCCCATGGAATCCAAAGTTACTGCTTACACTACATATGACCTGCTTAAAGTGTAGTCAATTAGTTGTGGTTCATTTTACCTTCATTTGAAATGTCATCATTACTGAATGAAACATTTCACCAAGAAGTTTCACTTTACATAATAAAGTGACTGAACTGGATGAACCTGACCATAAACATTCTGTATAAGCTTGTAAACCCCACTGTCAACTCCCTCTTGCTTTATTTACCCAACATGGTAAAGGAACATATCTGCCCTTTGCACTGCTCTCTGTTATTTTCTCTTTTTGTATATTACTGTATATTGGCACCTCTCAGCCAAGGCACACTGATGGACTGATGTTTTACACAGTAATATGCAGCTGAATATCACACAAACTTCAATTATAACTCATGCCTTGCCCAGAATATTCTCACAACTTCTTAAGGTGTTTTCCAGTGATAATATGATAAGAAAACTATAAAGCCACCTAGAGACTACCACATAATACAAAGTGCTGAATGAAACCAACAACAAAATGATGATTATATAAATTTTAAGGATAAAAGAAATTCATAGTTCATAAGAGTGGCACTAGGACACCCACAGAACAAACTCTTCTCATCAGAGAATCAATGTACTTAGTATCACTGTAATTATAGACTATAAGTCATTTGGTGTGAGTGTAACAGAGCAAGAAGCTCATTATATTCAAAACAGAAATTCTTAAACAGTGAACAATTCAATGTGCCTTGGTGTTGAATGTGTTACTGAGTTCTCTGGTACAGTGTTGTCAGCTTGTCCAAAAAGTACAGAAACACTGTTGTACTTAGTTCTGGTACTACTTAGTTAAAGGAATACGCAGAATTTTTAATAATTTCCATTGCCCTGTTAGATGATAAGAAAACAGGCGACAACATCACCCTTGTCTCAGAGATCACTAACTCCAGTTTTTAGCAGAATGACAGTAGTCAGAATGGTGTTGATCTCAGGTCAACATTGTGAGCATGATGTGTTGATATGATGTTAGTGCTGGCATGGATGATCTTACCACTTAAGGAAGTTGGCTATTGAGCCAGTTTCCCAAAAATGTGAGTATTCCTTTAGGCTGACAGGCTGTCACCTTCAGATGTAATGTTAGCTACATGGTCACCAAACAACCTAACACCAGATTCCACTGTTTTTCTGTACCAGCATAGTTTCTGTCACTTATCTCTGTCTCATTTGTCTTTGTGTCTGTGTGCCTGTCTTTGTATGTCCAGGGTCCAGCAGGAAAGGATGGAGCTCCAGGTCTACCAGGAGCTGTGGGAGAGAAGGTAATGCTCATCAAGACAGACTGTGTCCTGGCCTGAAGGTCAGAGAACTATATCAGAGTCGCATGGACTATTCATGTTTTGCTCTCTGTCAGCTCAGAAGGGGGTGCAGATATCCAGAGGAAAGAAAGTGAAAACTACCCCTAGTTGTCAATTTTCTTGACAGGTCTTGAATGACCAAATCTGGGTTCCACAGAACTAAGCCAGGTTTTATGGTTTAATTTTCATATAATAA